AGAGGTGGTTTAAGTGTCGTGGAGAAAAATCAAGTAGGGAAGAGGTGTAGGGGATCCCTGAGGGATAGGTGGTGGTCAAGGAAGACCCCCCTGAGATGGTGATATTTGATCAAAGATGTGGGCAGAGGGGGCAGCAAATGCAAAATCCCTGAGGCAGGAGCAGGCTAGACAGTATTTGAGGGCTATGAAGAGCTCGGCTGGAATAAGCAAGGAGGAAATAGCGAGAGAGCATTAGAGAGTGGGAGGGTGGGATTGTGTGGCATTTGTAGGCCACTGGGTGACCACTGGTCCTTATGATTGAAATGGAAACCACCAAAAGATTTTGAGTGGTAGAGAAGGATAATCTGACTTCTGTCTTTACAAGCATCACCATTCTCAAGGCACAGACTTTAAGTCTTAACAAACATTTCGTCCTTATTTAATCCACAGAGAGATGCCTCATGGGTTATTGGTGTTATTATATATTTTTTCTTTACTGATGAGGAAATTCAGGCCCAAAGAGATTAAGTAATTCTGCGGAGGTCACTCAGCTGGTAATTGGCGGAGTTAGGACTTCAGCATAGACTCATCTGATTCCAAAGGCCACATAGACCAGAAAAAAAGGAGCACTTAAAAGGGAAGGAGTTCTGATGACGGAAGGATACTGGGCATAGGAAACAAAACGATGATTGTTACAGATGGAGACCTTAGAGTTTCGCAGCTGACAGGATGTGTTGGGGAAATGAGTGTCAACAGTGTCATTTGGAGCCTGCCTGTCTTCTAAGAGAATAGTGGTACTGTTAACGAAATAGGGGGGTCAAGAGTAGAAGTAGGTTTGAATTAAAAGATGGAGGGCATGACTTTGGGTAGGTGGTGGCTGAGGTGGTGGTAGGAAATAGTGGAAATGTCCAGTTGATCCCGAAAGAAGAGCTCAGAAGATGATGGGGACCTGAAATCTCCCATTGTGGTTACAGTTGAAGCTTCAGGGAAGCATGTGCTCCCTGAGATAACGCAAGGGACAACCTGGAAATGTCTGTTCCTGTGGGAGGGAGCCAAAGAGGGGGGCAGAAGTCAGGCCGTGCTGAGAGGTACGGAACTCAAGGGGGAGGGCAAGCCATAGAATGGGAAGTGGCTGTGGAGGGGCTGCCTCCTAGTGGGTGGTCGGAGCAGCAGGTGCATGTGGTGGCCAGAATGGTCGAGAAGCTGCACAAATGGTAGAGCTGTTGGTGCTCCTGGATGGAGCCGTAAAGACCCATAGCTCAGAAGGGGAGCAAAGTCAAGAGTGCACATGTGGCCCAGGACAGAGGGAGAGGGCATGAGGCTCCAGAGAGGACAGGATAGAGAATGAAACCAGAAAAACTATTCATGGAAAGATAAAAATCCATTTCTTGTGGAGATAAAAATCCTTCTGTTTTTACCTTTGTGAACTTGGGCAAAGGAAGGGTGTGACCATCTGTTATGAGGCATTTCTGTCCCTGGTGAAAAAGGAGGCTTCAGTGAGCACAACAGTAGCAATGAGGTCACCCAACCTAATCCGGGTCTCTGGGTGTAAAGATTATGTCATTTCAAGGAACTGGACCCCCTAGGGAAGGGGGTCCCGTCCCGTGGTTGCTCCCTGGGGAGCAGGGAGCAAGTTCGTGTCTGCCCCTGTCGGTCCCTCCTCCAGCCTTACCTGTACCTCGATTAACACCTGTTTTCATACTTGCACAGGAACCTTCCCCCCCTCCCCGCCACCACCCCTTTTTTCCCTTCTGAAAGTAAAACAGCTTTGTGAGATGCCTTTTATCCTTATCAGTCTCAATATAGATAGAGTGGCTTATTTTGTAGCAGTGTTTGTTTATAGCCTTATACTTAGGCCAGCTTTCTTTTCACATGGCTGAATTCTTTTTTTTTTTTTTTTTTTTTAAAGCAAGACTCTTGCCTGATACCAGTTCTCATTATTAAATAAAAACAACCACTTTTCCACCTTGGGCTTTCATTGCACATTTTCAGATGATGCTGTTTGCTTTTATTTTGCTGGCTTTCCAAGTATTTTTTTTTTTTTTTTAATCTCTAACCTGTTATGTTAGGGAGAATTTCAAGCATATGGAGAAGGAATAGCAAAATAACTCCCCAGTGTCGCCATGGTCGTCTTTAACATTTTTTTTTTTTAAGATTGATTATTTATTTGACAGAGATCACAAGTAGGCAGAGAGGCAGGCGGAATGAGAGAGAGAGAGGAGGAAGCAGGCTCCCTGTTGAGCAGAGAGCCCGATGTGGGGCTCGATCCCAGGACCCTGGGATCATGACCTGAGCTGAAGGTAGAGGCTTTAACCCACTGAGCCACCCAGGCATCCCTCGTCTTTAACATTTATCAGTAGGCTTCCATTTCTCGTTTTATCTGCACTTGCATATATTTTTTTTTCCTGTAGTATTTAAAGATTTTTATTTATGTATTTGAGAGAGAGAGAGCACGTGCACATAGGTTGGGGGGGGGTGGACTCTGCACTGAGCACAGCGCTTGCATGATCCTGAGTTTAAGACCTAAGCTGAAATCAAGAGTTGGACACCTAACCGACTGAGCCACCCTGGCACCCCTTTTTTTCTGTAATATTTTAATATTCACAGATGCAAATGATTCTTTAAGAAAACAAAAATCTAGGGTGTAGGTCAGGGCTGGCCCTCAGAAGCCAAGCAGCACTTTTTTCACCTGTGGGAGTTGACTTAATGGGGGTGCCGTGACCTGGCTTCCAGCTCTGCCCATGTTCACTCCAGGGACTGCATTTTATGTGGATGGGAACGCTAAGATGACCAGAAGCTCCTCCTACTGGAGTTCCTCTCCTCCTAAGCCTACTATTCTAGAAGCACAGTTCTTAACACACCCTGAGAGCTATCCCACTGCTCCTCCCCTGGCTCCTGCCAGTGGCCTGTGTCTTCCCTGGAACCTGTCGGGTACAGGACTCGTTTTAGGACTTAAGGCCTCAGTGTCAGGTGGCCAGCGGATGAGCTCTAGAAAACTGGGGAGGTCTGCCCCCGAGGACAGGTCCCCGAGCATGAGCAAGCGTGGTCCCGCAAAGATAACCCCGTGACCAGGACTCGAGATCCTGTCAGTCTCCGGGTCTTGTTTCTGGGGAAGTGCAGAATTTGGCCGCATCCTCTTCAACTGTGTTTTTCTGTGGTACCTTGAAGCAGCCAAAATGGACAACCCAAAAAGCTACCCTCTGGCCGCTGTGTTTCCCTGGCGCCATGGCATTGTCGCCTCCCCGGTTTGGGTGGGGGGAGCAGGGCTGTGGCTGCACCTCCCCTCTGTCGGGGGCGGGGGGTGACCTGTCTCTTGTTTCCTGTGTCTTGCGTCAGTCTGTTTGTGAGCATGTGCCCGCAGGTGATTAATGGGGACAGTAAACAGACGCTTCCTAACTGAAAGTTCCTCCTGTTTCCTAAGATGTTTCTGGTGTAATGAATTGTTTGTTTGCAGCCCACAGACCACATGTGCTGTGTGTGCTTCTGTCCCCGCGAACACCGTCTGTGCTTTCATGTGGGAGCTGGGCTTGTAAAGTCCACAGATGATAAGGCTTGAAAGAGTTTTCTTCATCTGAGAATGCCAGGGGGGCTGGGGAATCAGCGGTGCAGCCTGGGGAGCCTGGCACTCTGCATCCAAAACCCTGTGACAATATGTGCCATCCTAACCGCCCCCCCCCCCCCCCCCCCCCCCCCGCCCCGGCTTTGAGGTTGTGGATGGTGTGGCTGTGTAGCCCGGGGTGGGGAATCAAGATTTTTTAATGGGAAAGGATTTTTTTTATTTTTTGCCTTTCCATCATTTTTTTTTTCCTATGTGCATTGAAGATTTTCTCCTCAGCTGCATTACTACTCTGTATACATTATCTTTTCTCCTGAACATCACAATATAAAGATTTATACGTTTTTAAAATTATATAAGCCCTTTTAGAAGCCTTTATTTTCTGCCAAGTGGACATTCCCTAATTGAACCATATTACTGAATAGTTAATTCATTTGTAATGCTACTGTGAGCATCTTTGTACACAAAGCATTTTCTGTGTTTTATATCACATTTAAACTAGATTTTGTAGAAATGAAATTTATGGATCAAAGGGAATCGAGGGGAACAAGCACTTGGAGGCTCTAAGATTGCCATATTGATCCCCCAGTGGGGTATATCCATTTGCCACCAACCAGATTCTCATCAACAGGAAAATTTATTCTTAAGCCACAGTTTTGTTTTTCTGAATGGGAGTTCCTAGTACCACTACAGGAATCTGTGACAAGGTGATGGTTTAGGTTTTAAAAGGCCTTGGTGTGTCAGAGAGTGACACTGTGACTCATTGTCCACTGTGGGTTGCGACTGGTTCTTCCTTCGCTGTCCATCTCTCAAGTTATGTGCACATTTTTTTTTTAAAGATTTATTTATTTTAGAGAGTGGGGGAAGGGCAGAGGGAGAGAGAGAGAGAGAATCCTCAAGTAGACTCTGTGCTGAGCGTGGAACCTGATGTAGAGCTTGATCTCATCACCCTGAGGTCATGTCCTGAGCAGAAATTAAGACTTGGGTGCTCAACCGACTAAGCCACCCAGGTGCCCCCATGTACACATTTCTTGACATCAGTTCCATTCTGCTATGTTCTCTATCCAGTCTCGGGGACAATCTGTGTCTTTGGGTGTGTGCTTTCTTTTCTTTCTTTCTTTCTTTCCTTTTTTTTTTTTTTTTTTTTTTTTTAAGATTTATTTATTTGAGAGAGAGAGCAAGTACAAGAGGGGAGTTAGGAGCAGAGGGAGAGAGGCCGACTCCCTGATGAGCAGGGAGCCTGACATGGGGCTCAATTCCAGGACGCTGGGATCATGACCTGAGCCGAAAGCAGATGCTTAACATGGAGCCACCCATGTGCCCCTGGGTGTATGTTTTCTAAAGTGCCTTCATGTACATATCTGGTAAATTTAAGGTTTTGATACCATTTGTGAATCTTTCCTGGGGACCTCTTGGAATCTGATATTTTAGACTCTGATGATGCCTTTGTTGTTGTTTTGCACAGATCCAGTTCTGCAAGTTCCAACACATGTGGAAGAGTAAGTCTTCTGATTTGCTTCAGTACTTCCCCTTTAATGCATTTTTAAAAAACTATTCCATCAATATTTAGGAAGCTAGCTGCTGGGAGTGCGTATATGCATACATTTGAGGTATAACAAGAATGATGGGGACAGGAAGTCTTACAGGTGCTATGGTCTCTGTTGGGTGGTCCGTTCCTTGGGGGAAGGAGATAGTGATATTAAAAAGGCTTCCTTGAGATGAAACTCAAGTTGAGTTTTGAGCTTAAGCTGCCAAAGTCCTGCCAGAGGGTTTAGATCTCTCCCTCTTCACTGTTCACTGTCATACCATGGAGAGGAAACACGAACGTGACCTGCTACTAGAGTGTGTGCTGTGGCACCTGTCAGAGCTCAAATGTTGGGGGCATCCTAAGCACAGAAAAGATTCAGCAAGGGGTTTCTGAGTGCCTAGTCCTAGTTTAGACTTCACCAGGTTAACCTTACCAAAGACCATGGAGAGCCACGGACTAGAGACTGTCATCCCTCTCCTTGGCAGGTTCTCTCTGATGTCAAGCTTTCCGAGTCTGCTCTTATTGCCTCCAGTTTAAAAATAAATGTTTGTTGAACACTAAGGTAGATTTGTCCTACCTGTTTACATATTGTTCCATGCTATTAAATATTAATTGTTAACATTCTATACACAATTGACTTAGAAACTGAAAAGCAGACTTAATGGGTTCTTTTTCACTTCATCATCGTCACCCGGAGCGCTTTGACCAAATGATGATTTACTCTTCTATGGTTTTTTACTTTTCTTCTTTCTTGCAGGTTGCTTTTTTTCTGCTCAAGTGTAGCCTATCACCATAGGGATATTTTATTTGTGGCTAAAAGTGAAAGAGCCGTGGGTGGAATTGTCTTAGACACACACATGTCCCCCTTCCCCCAATCATGATTTTGCATGGCTTTGGGATGTTGTTCTGTGCCCTGGGCTATAATTTATCACTGATACTTACTGCTCAATCTCTAGGCCTGCCTTCCTCCCAGATCCCAATGACGGCAGCCTTTATACGCTTGGGGGCAAGAATAATGAAGGCCTGACGGTGAGTGTATTTAGTTTCTTTGTGTACTTCCAGGTTCCGGACCAGTGGTCCTCAACTGTTGTCCATTGAGATCACCTGAGAGCTTAAAAAAAATCCCTGGAGATTGTGATTTGTGTGGTCTCGGGTGAGATGTGGGCATCAATATCTTTTTATTTTTTAAAGCTTCTTAAATGAACTTTTAATTTTTTATTCTTATAAGATTTTATCTATTTATTTGAGAGAGAGCAGGAGCGGGATGGAAGAGCAGATGGAGAGGGAGAAGCAGGCTCCCCACTAAGCAGGGAGCCCAATGGGGGGTTTGATGTGGGGCTCGATCCCAGGACTCTAGGATCATGACCCAAGCCGAAGGCAGACACTTAACCAGTGAGCCACCCAGGTGCCCCCTAAATGAGCTTTTACATGGCAGCCATAATTCAGAAACACTGACCTGGACCAGCAGGTTCCCATGGGCCAGCCAGCATGCTGGAGAGGTATGAGACTCCCTCTAGCAGCAGGATTTGCTCTAACTAGCGATTCTCAAATTGGAGGTTTAAAGCATTGTTTACCCCCTCCCACCCCAGCGAATGTCCCCTTCCGGCACAGGGAGCTGGTGAGATTCCATTCCCATCCCGTCTTCATTTGAGAATCTAGACCAGTGGTTCTTAACCTTAGCTACACATTGTAATAACCTGGAGCACTCTTTAAAAAAAAAAAAAAAATCTGTACCCCAATCCCAAAAGTTTCTGTTTAATTGATCTAGGTCATCAGCAAGTTTTAAAAGCTTCCAGGATAAGAGAATTTAGAAACAGGCCCACACATATGATCACCTGATTTATGAAAAGGGTCATGCTGCAGGGCAGTAGGGGAAAGGTAGTCTTTGAATAAATGGCATGAGTCAGCTGGGATGTCCGTGAAAAAGTATCTTAACTCCTGCCACACGCCGGACACACAAGACTCAGTTTCAGAGAGATGGCGTAACTAAGTGTGAAATGTGGAATAAAACTTTAAGAAAAAAACGTAGCAGAACATCTTCACAACCTTAAAGTAGGAAAAGATTTCTTTCTTTTTTTTTTTCAGTTGGCTTCTTGCCAAATGTGGAGTTCAGTGCAGGGTTTGAACTCAAAACTGTGAGATCAAGATCTGAGCCAACACTAAGAGTTGGACACTTAACCAACTGAGCCACCCAGGTGCACCAGAAAAGATTTCTTAAATAGAATGAGATAAACAAAACAGAATCACCCCATACTAACCATAAAGGCCAAAAAAAAATTATTTTTATATATATATATAATTATATTAAAATTAAGAGTTTTTCTTCCTTAAGAGACACTGTTAAGAGAGGCAGGCCACGCTGTACCCGGCAATACACATACGACTCCAACAAAGGATTCATATTCAGAATATGTAAAGAACTATGGATTATTAAAAAGAGAACCTAATAGAGAAATAGCAGAAGAGGTTATCCAAATGGTCATTTAAGCATATGAAAAGATACTCAGCTTCATTAATCATTAGGGAAATGCAAATAAAAATCACAATGTCCTACTACTAAAATGAGAGAAATAGACAAAACAGGTGTTGGGGGAGGGATAGTGAAACAACCAGAGCTCCTGGGCACTGCTGGAGAAGGGCCACTTGGTATATCCAGTTTGGAAACTGTTTGGCAGAATCTGTAAAGCCTTATGACCCAGTCCTCCCTCCCAGGTTATTATGTACCCAACAGAAACACCTGTGAGCATTCGCCAAACAGGTAACCAGAGTTACCGCAGCGTTTCTGAAAATAACCAAGAGGTGAAAACTGCCCAGACAGCATCACTAGTAGACAGGATAAAGAAATCACAGAACAGCGATACAATGAAATAGTTCTGCATCAGCGAAAACCAACAGTCTGCGAGTCTACACAGCAGCGTGGAGGGACCTCACCAATCTGAGGTTGGACAAAAGATGACAAACAAGAAAGGTTGCACACTGAGTGATTCATTTATATAAAGCTCAAAGACAGGAAAAACTAGTCTATGCTGTTTTGAAGTTAGGATAATGATTACCCTGGAAGATTAGAATTGGAAGAGAAGGCAAGAAGAGGAATTTCGGAGCTCTGGAAATGCCCTGCTGCTTCATGTACATTCTGGCTACGTGGGTTGGTTCACTTTGTGCCATTGCACTGAGCTGAGGTGTACAATTCCGGGTGCCATTTGTGTCCTGCTTCAATAGAAAGTTTTTTTCTAAGAAAGTCTCCAAGTGATTCTAATGTGCAGGTTGAAAACCAGTGGTCTAGACTATAAGTGGCTGTGAGCTCTAATCGGGGTATTTTAACCTCATCTTCTGAATAGCCAGGACTGGAGCGAATGAGAGGAAGGCAAGACTTGCATCCAGGCGTGTGTGTTCTACCATCAGCATTTCCCTTCACATCCCCAGAGCCTGTTTCTGAGTGCTCTGTTCGCTAGACACCGTGTACAGTGATTTGTGGAAGTTGTCTCATGTTTCAGCAGCCCTCTGGGGTACAGATGTTATCCTACATGAGAGGAGTGGAAACTTTGCCCACAGAGGTGAAGAAGTGTGTTCAAGGCCAAAGCATCAAGTGTTGTAACTTGGGACTTGAGCTCGAACTTCCAAAAGATGCTCTGACCACCAGCCCTCACGTCTTCCTGTGTTGCGGGTTAACAGTTCCGCAAGCTGTGTGTTTCCCAGCTTGGGCCTTAAATAGGGGGGCCTGTAGAAATGCTCAGCAGACTGTAGGCTCCAGACTGGAAGCCTTGCAATGACTTTGTGATTCTCCAAAACATCTGGCAAAACCCACTCAGCCATGATGGCCTTTCTGTGGCATTTCTCCTTTTCTAAGGCTCAATTTAAATGTGGGGATAATGGGGGAAATCCAAATGATTGATTATTTCAAGTTCTGTTTATTAAAACTAGAAAGAAATCTTTTCTTTTTTGGGGAAAAAGATGACGGTGTAGTAGAAATAGAATAGTTTCAAGAACACAGAATGTTCCAAAAATAAAGTATACCGAAACGAACACTAACCAAAGGAACTCATCAGATGTCAGCTGTAGACTCAGTTGTATGATGAAATGCTGTTGAAACACATGGATTCTTTTGAGTTTGAGTTTCTTTTCCTGGCACCTACCATAATTTCTTTCTAATACCAAGACTTAATTTTCTTGTTTTTTCAATAAGAGCATTATTTAATGAAGAAACCATCAAAATGACTTTTTCCACCTCAAACTCCTGGGTCACCCGCATAATGATGATGTCTCCTTTCCTTTAAAGCTTCAGCTGGGTGCTGAAGTTGCTTCTCTTCAGAATTAATCTCATGGCTCACCCACACTCTGAAAACCATGCCATTCCACTCAGCCTAGCTGGTCCTGGGTCAATTTTCAAAGATAAGAGAATTCTTTCTGCTCCCCCCCGCAATATCAAAGATTGTGTAACTTCTCTATATTTGTATAAGTCTTTTCAGAAAAGGTTTGTATCTTCCCCAGAAGTGCTCTGTACAAGATACTTTAAGGGGCTCCTGGAGGGGACCTGGGAGCTCGAAGCTTGTTCAAAGTGGATTTGGAAGCCTGGGGCAGCCCTTCTCCTTGGTTTCCAGTAAGGAAAACTCCCATCAACCATCCACACTGCCTCTCTCTTATTAGCAGAATTGGGTAACAGAAACAGATTGTGCAGTAAAATTATAATAATTGCACAAGACTTGGTTAACTTATTTTTTCCTTTTCCTTTTTTTTTTTTTTAAGAAACTTCCTTTTACCATCCCAGAGTTGGTACAGGCATCCCCATGCCGAAGTTCAGAAGGAATTCTCTACATGGGTAAGAGTTCCTGTTTTCAACACTGAAACTTTGATCTCTTTGGAAATGAGTCCTGGGAAATTCATCTGGGAAAGTAGGGCGTCAGAGAGAGAGATGTGCAGTGACTCCCCACGAGCCCTTCTGGGAAAGGTCTTTCTTACCTCCGTTGTGCTTATTCACACCAGGATCAGCTGACCAATTAAGAAAGGGTTCCCTCCACTTGAGAGCAGACTTGACACCATTAATATGGTTACTCATTTAACAAGCTTTTTAGCTGCCGTGTTGACTTACCCCAGTGATTTAAAGATTGCAACATACCCAGAAGCAATTGGATGAAATTTAAAGTGAACACAATAGTCTGAGCCAAGAAAGGGAAGCCAGCTTCTGCCTATTAATTATAGGACTTTCTTAGTATTTCCTGCTATCAGAATATTGGATAAAACAGCACTTAACAGCTTGGCCAGATAAGCGACCTTCTTACCTATGAGGTCACCTCTTTGAGAGCATCAGATCACCTGCTTTTCTTTTACCGTGTTGCTGCCAAAATGTCAATAGAAATGCATTTGTAATACAAAGGAGAGCTGTGTTTATCTTGAAATCATGGTAGTAATAATATCCTATATTTACATAGCAGCTTTCCTTCTGAGGAACTAAAAGCACTTGCTGCCTGTTCGTGCCTCAGGAGCTTTATGTGCATTTCTGGGCCTCGCATACAGGCTGGATTTTAAGTTTTTGCTTGGGACTCAGGAGCTGTTGCTTTCTTCCACACCTTCAGGATGAGGCAGCCCCAAGCCTCGAGATTCAGAGGAAGTGATCAACACAAGCTTTCTCTTCTCTCCCCTGGGCCATGCTCCAGGCCCTCCTGACCATCTTCTTTTTTAAGATTTTATTTATTATTTGAGAGAGAGTATGAGCAGAACCCAGGGGAGGAACAGAGGGAGAAGCAGTCTCCCTATTGAATAGGGAGCCCGATGCGGGGCTCAATCCCAGGACCCTAGGATCATGACCCGAGCCGAAGGCAGAGGCTTAACTGACTGAGCCACCCAGGCACCCCATCCTGACCATCTTCTGACCATCTGCGTAACTGTTGTCTGTCTGGGTTTCTAACTTTTGGCAGTGGTTCATTACTCAAGATGCATTTAGGCTAGTGTGTTTCTATCATCTTTGTGTGGTGTCCTCTTAAGTGAGTTCATTAAGCATATTTAAAACTGTGGCAATTGCCCGATCCATCCTTTAAGTGGTCGCTGAGTTACCCAGATGGTAATAGTCCTCAAAGTAACCAGAAGGGTGTCATGCCAGATGGGAAGGGATCATGAGCATGGCTATTTGGTGATGTTCTCACTCTATCTGCAGACCTTTTTCATACTAAGATTTTGTCGTTGAGAACAGAACGTTATCCGTGGACAAGTTTCACATATGTAGACTAGGCATGTATGTTCCATCTGTTAGAACTAAGTGTAGCTCCAACAAATTCTGATGCCCTGTTCTGTGATCTATGGTCACAGACATGTGATCTTCTCAACATCTCTGTACTCTGCTTCCAAGAGTCCTTTGAAGTAAGACCCTTGTCCAATAAGTTAGAAAGATCCCAGTAACCAGAGGCCATGCCTTACAGAACAGAAATGCGTACCTTATGGTGACTGTATTGACTTGCAGATGGGAGGCCCGTGCTACTGACCCACCATTAGCCGGATGCTCTGGAGTGTGTACCGCAGAGGCATATGCTTTGAGTTTTCCCAGTGGTGTTGTCTAGCTGTGCTGTCCACCTGTTCATACCTTTTAACCAGCCAACCAAGGTGTGGGGGTGTAGTGTGTATGCTGGGGTCCATGGCTGAGATAAGCTTGGTCTCATTAACACCAAATTGCTACCAACTCTACTACCCAGTCCCAGGTATCAGCTAAGTAGAGTTATAAACAGTAACTGTGGATCCTCTTTACATGTGGGCTCCTTAGGGAGGGGTGTGGAGGTCTGTGAATGACGGTTACCAGAGAAGTCAACCCTGGGCAAATTTCTCTATTTATATAGAGCTTAGTCTGCGGGAAGAGGTTTGTCCTTCGGAGGCCAGGCTTTTCAGATTTAAGGCCACTCATCAAAGCAATGAAGTCTGTGAGTTTTATTAGGTTGTTAGGTTTGAAGGCATTTTCAAACCATCATTAGGTTATTAAGTTATTAGAAGACCCAGTGGGCCAAGAAGTTTTATTCTCTCTGCTCTAGCATTCACCTTGTCACCCTCGGAGCATTAGAGAAATGTCTTCAACATCACGAGAACTCCCGGCCTCTCAGCACAGGAAACATCTTGGCCTGCTAGCTTGGCAGGGATACATTTTTTTCCATATGGGGTGAGTATAAACCACAGTGTGTCCTTGTGACTTTTCAGGTAAAAAGCAGGACATTTGGTATGTCATTGACCTTCTGACCGGGGAGAAGCAGCAGACTCTGTCGTCGGCCTTTGCAGACAGTCTCTGCCCATCAACCTCTTTGCTGTATCTTGGGCGAACGGGTAAGAAGGGACCTTCTCTTGTGTACAACCTGTCTGTTCTGCCCTCCCCCCCACCCCGCCCAAAAAGACATTAAGTAGCCTCCCCCTGGTTCTCTGCTGCTCTGGGCTTCATTCTCTATAAGGTGGCCAGAACGGTCTTCTCCAAACACAGACTTTACCATGTTGGTTCCCCCTTTAAAAGCCTTCCCTGCCCCCCTACCAGGGCTCCCTTGGCCGGAGGGATTAGCCCGAAGCACCACGGCCTGCAGAACCTCCATGATGGGGCCACGGCCTCTATTGCCTCCTCCCCAACTGTATTTCCCAGACTTAAATGTTTTCCAGTCAGTTTCCAGAATAAGCATTGCTGGTTTTATTTTTTTATTTTTTTTTTAAAGATTTTATTTATTTATTTGACAGAGAGAGAGAGAGAGAGAGATCACAAGTAGGCAGAGAAGCAGGCAGAGAGAGGGGAGGAAGCAGGCTCCCCGCTGAGCAGAGAGCCCGACTCAGGGCTCGATCCCAGGACCCTGAGATCACGACCTGAGCTGAAGGCAGAGGCCCAACCCACTGAGCCACCCAGGCGCCCCAGCATTGCTGTTTTTAAAGACATTCAGCAGTGGGTCCATCCCTCTCCACCAGCTACGCACCTGTTTGCCTTGATTTGATCTTGACCCTGAGGCCGTTTTTTATAGTGAGGCTCTTCCAGCTGGAGTGTTGGTCCTGGCCCCTCTCTATTTTCTTTGTATTCAGCTTAAAAACTGAATGGTTTCTTCTTCAGCCTCTCCATCTCACAATATATCACATGCAGTTAGGAGAGCCTGCTTGGCACTTTCTGAGTTCTGCCTGGAGATCCCCGCAGCCAAACCCGCAAGATCGCCAGGTGCTTTCTTGCGCTTTTCTAAGTTACTGCAAGCAGTGGTCTGTGCTAATGTCACTGCGCGATAGCCTGGGCCACCCCTTGGCAGCTTCCAGGAGCAGTTTTCCTTCCTGCTCCTTCAGTCCTCACGTCGGCCTGCCAGCCTCCCCCTGCCACCTTGTCCCAGCCAATGCCACACGTTTCCTTGTGTTGCCATAGCCTGATCCCATGTCTGGGTACCAGTTTCTAACATCAGCTATCTATTGCTATATACTAAACCACCCCATCACTTAGGTGGTTTTAAATGATACTGTGATTTAAAAAAAAAAAAATCGTGATGCACAATAGCAAAAAAAAAAAAAAAGTAAATAAACACAGTGATATTGATTCTGTGAGTCATGAGTCCAAGGGCACAGCGTGAGTGGCTCATCCCTGTCCCACACGCTGTCGGCCAGGTTCACCCTGTGTCTGGGACTTCAATTCCCACCCACGTGGCCTTTCTCTTTCCCTAAGGATGGCCTGGACACTTTACAGACATGTAGAGAGGGTCTGTCCGTTGTCATGTAGGTCAGGTCGGCCCCTCAGCAGGCGCTGGGGCCCCTGCAGGTAACAGGCCGGTGTGTGTTCTCCAGAATACACCATCACCATGTACGACACCAAAACCCGCGAGCTCCGGTGGAACGCCACCTACTTCGACTATGCAGCCTCGCTGCCTGAGGACGACGGGGACTACAGTAAGTGCTCCCGGGAGGCTCCACAAGGCTGGCGGGGTACGTGTGACCACTGAGGACGCTGTCACTCCCAAATGCCAGGTGTTCTTTTAAGGCGCTCTTGGCCACCAGCTTCTGGAGTTGCCAAGGCTTTGACAGTCGGTATTGAAGGGGCCTGGGAGAGAAGCGTGGAAGGTAACCTTAATAGAGTGGGTGGGGAGTTAGCCTGAGAGGAGGATCAAGCACCATATTGAGTCTCTCTCTGTCCCAGAAGGAACACACCACAAGCCGCTGGGAAGCGGAACTAAGTATGCTGTGATGTGAACAGTCCATCCCCTAAATGTGACTCATCTCCCTAGTTTATTTCTCTCGTAAACGTTCCCCCAACTCAAACGAAAACTGAAACCCAATTTTGCCATCGGAACACTGATACCTGAACGTCTGACAGAAATCTCCTCTGTGGGCAGATGGGGGCGGTGTCAGTGGTCAGCTTTGACCTTCCACTCCATCAGTTGGTTTGAAATGATTGCTATAAAATATCCGAATCCTGGGCCTCTCCCCTGGCTCTTTCCTCCTCACTGTCGACTCCAGCTAATTGTGTAGAGCGCGGGAGAGTCTCACCAGGTAAACCGCCGTCCACAGAGTGGTCCTAGCTTACGTTTGTGAAGCAGGCAGCTCTCACTGTCCTGATGTTGTAGAGCCTGCGCCGGGTTCACTGGAAACAAGGGACATCGTTGGGAGGCTATCTGAGAATGCTCCAGAAATCTTGTTTCCTGTAGCTGAGTGACTGCTTCTTGCCAGGAGAGGGAGGATGTGGTCGGTCGTGAGATGGGGTGAGACCGCATGCTTTGTTTATTTGATCTGTGCAGAGATGTCCCACTTTGTGTCTAACGGTGACGGGCTGGTGGTGACCGTGGACAGTGAATCCGGCGATGTCCTGTGGATCCAAAACTACGCTTCCCCCGTGGTGGCCTTTTACGTCTGGCAGCGGGAGGGTCTGAAGAAGGTGCTTCACATCAATGTCGCCGTGGAGACCCTGCGCTACCTGACCTTCATGTCCGGGGAGGTGGGCCGCATCACCAAGTGGAAGTACCCGTTCCCCAAGGAGACGGAGGCCAAGAGCAAGCTGACGTGAGTCAGGGGACCCAGGGCAGAAGAGGGCAGCCGTGACCCAGACCATCCGCAGGACGCCATGGCATAGCGTGGATAAAGAGCCAGGACTGGCTCCTTCGGAAAGTTCGAGATGCGTCTATGCACTGGGGCATGCCTTGATGTTTCAGAGTTCTCGAATATTACATAAATCAGAATTCTGGACAGGGATAAGAGACCGCTGATACAGAACCCCAGCACAGTTTGCATCTGTCTCAGCTGGTGGGAGGACAAGAGATATCTTTACCTTTCAGCTTTCTGGATTTTCTAAATTCTCACTGTAAGTCATATTCATTTCCAAAATGAGGGAAAGAGTGTTACCGCGTGTAAGCCTGAGCCTCAGCAGGCTTGTGTTCGCCATCCCCACCTGTTAGCAGCCGGCACCGTGGTCCCGTGGCCTTGCCGAATCCCCGTTTCCCACTCCGCAGGGTGCAGGGAGAGCAGGTGGGACCGAGAGCGCTCTCCGAGTTGCACAGCACCTTTCACACGGCAGGTGTCTGTCGAGGGAGGTTTCAAGAGTTTAGTGGATGACCACCCCACACTGGCTATTGCTGGTAACCGCAAGGGTCTGGAGGTGCAGCCCTGCCTCTTCACGCCAACCCCACAGACAAAGCTGGACCCTCCCCCCGCCGCCCCTCGCTGCCCACCAGCCGGGGGAGCAGCACCCTCACCCGGTTTGGAACTTCTTGTGTATCCCTTTGCTGCAGTCATCCAGCTGAGAGCAGCGAGTGTGTCGCAGGGTTTCTGTAGAACCTCTAGACTCCCAACGAGTCACGAGACAAAATGGCAGCTCGGTTGTCAGAGCAGGCTGTGGTCCGGGCCACCTTAGTGTCTTGGCGGTGGTTGCGAACATTTGGTCCTTCCCAGGTGAGCACTGTCCGTGGTTCTTTCTGCAGGCGGCGTGGGGACGGTCCAGCACAGCCTGCCCTTGGCGGGTGAGCGAAGCCAGGCTGACAGCTGACTCGTTCGTGCACACCTCTGGAGGCAGTGACAGCCGGGGCCTGCAGTCCAGGTTCCCAGGACGGTAGCCCTGCCTTCACGTCCCCGCTGCCAGAGTGCCAGGGGTTAATCTGGTTATTCTTAGCATGGCATTTGGGCCTGGCACACTTCTCTCCAGAAAGGCCCCTTCTGTGGGACATAGAAATTAAGTGACTGTGGAATGCATGTTTCTGCTTGTCTTCTAGGCCCACCCTGTATGTCGGGAAGTACTCTACCAGCCTGTATGCCTCCCCCTCCATGGTTCACGAGGGAGTCGCCGTTGTGGTAAGTCTCCTCTTGGGGGCTCTCAGCGGCAGCCTCCTCCTAAGCACTCCTCTTCCATTTTGGCAAAGAATGACTCTGAATTATATTTGAACATCCTGTGGGGAAAGAAGGCAAGATGCAGGTCTTAGATCCCGAGAAACAGTTCCTGCCCATGTACCACTTTTTACTTCCTGAGGGAAGATGTATAACAAGAGCAGCTTCCCAAGCCCCGGGAGCCCTAGTCATTCTGCTTTGCTTTCATGTTCAAGTCTAAACTGTCCAGGCTGGTGTTCACACCCTCCTCTGTCTCTGTCCGGGCCCTCAGGACCCTTCTTCCACACTGCTCGGGTCTCTGTGGGAGTTGTACAGGCCATCTCTCCCTCATTCCAGAAGGTTCCTGTTTGGCTTTCTCCACCTTTGTTCAGGCTGTGCCTCACGCATCAAATGCCCTCCCTTCCTTTTTCCTGCTCAAATCCTTCCCATCCTTTGGTGACCTCTCGAGGCCTCCTCAGACCTCACCAGCCTCTTCCAAGTGCGGAGCCAGCACCGGGCTCCTGGCCAGAACTTCTTCTACCAGGGTCGAGGCAGAGGCTGTGGGCTCCTTCACTTACCTCTGCTTCTCATAGTAGCCTCTGGGAATTCCACACACATTCTTCCCAGTCCCCAGACAAAAGAACTTAAAAAGCTGTCCCTGATGAAGGTGTTGAGGGAGGAGGCTCTGCCACACAAGGGCTTTGTGTCTTGCTCTGGCTGTCCTGGGCCAGCCCCACACTAGAAATCGCTTCCCTTGGGTGCTCGTCTACAAGGGCTGCCCCAGACCTCACTCCCGTTCTTTATTCACAGCCCCGAGGCAGCACTCTTCCTTTGCTGGAAGGCCCCCAGACTGATGGGGTCACCATCGGGGACAAAGCGGAGTGTGTGATCACGCCCAGCACAGATGTCAAGTTTGACCCTGGGCTCAAAGGCAAGAACAAGCTCAACTACCTGAGGAACTACTGGCTTCTGATAGGTAAGCGCTGGTTTCTCATCCCTTCTGGCCACAGCATGCTGCCCCCTGGTGGGCAAAGACCGGCCTTGCTCGTTACCGTGGTCAACTGCATTGTGCTTAGCTCCAAGATGGTCTTTCAGACCTGGGACTGTTTTTATCTGCAAGGAAAAGAAACAGGGTAGTTGTGTTACCAAGTCAGTTCTCAAAATTCATTTAATGTTCCAAAACCCAAGTACAGACTTAACATAACCTTTGTGCAGTTAGCCGGCACGCGGACCGTCCATTATATGCCAGGCACTGGCACTAAGCACTTGTGAACCCATCTCCTCATTTCTGCCAGCAGCCCCTTGTGGGGTAGACAGCCTTGTCGCTCCACTTATGGGAAACCAGGGCGATTCCTATGGAAGAGTTCCGTGGCGTGTGGGGGGAGTTGGAGACGGGGTGTGGGGGGGTTGTTGGAGACCCGGGAGGAATGGAAGGTGGTGAAGAGATTGAGGCTGGGCTCAGCAGAAGTCCCCAGATGTGTATGTGTGGGGTCCCCTTTTCCTTTCGCTTCCATTGTTGCTGTCCTTGCTAATGGCCCTCAGAGGGACTTGGAGGGCCTGTCAGCCACAGAGGTAGGTTGAGATGAGACTTGAAGGCAGTGAGTGTGATAAATGAAGGCAGAGTCACGTGAGAGGAGCTGTGTCTCTGGTAAGCGTCCCTAGTAATTAGAGCAGGACAGAGTTTTCTTGAATTTGATTTGTCTCCGTGCATCCTGTCTCCCCCACTTCCGCTGCCTCCCAGCCCCAGAGATGGTGAGAGGCAGGGATGCCGCTTTGTGAGGGGGCACGGGAGGTGAGTGGATGCTAGCTGCTGAGTGGAAGGGGAAGAGAGAGGGCAATGCTGGAGGCACCAGGAAAGGATGTGGGGTGGCTGGGAAGCATGTGGGCCCAGGAAGCATGTGGTGGCACCCAGGCTGGGCTGGGGGCTGGGGGCGGGGGTGTAACTGGGAGTTGCAGATAGGAGCCTGAGTGTCCTGGAGTCCTGATCCGTCCCTGTACAGTTGTCCAGGTCTTGTTCTTCTGACTCTCTGTAGTCATTTTTCTTCTGCTTATTTTTTCTGCCAAATAATGGGCAAAAGAGGTAACAGAGTAATTCTACCTTTTTTTTTTTTTTTTACGATTTTATTTACTTATTTGACAGAGAGAGATCACAAGTAGGCAGAGAGGCAGGCAGAGGGGGAGGGGGAAGCAGGCTCCCTGTTGAGCAGAGAGCCCAATTCGGGGCTCGATCCCAGGACCCTGAGTCTACAACCCAAGCCGAAGGCAGAGGCTTAACCCACTGACCCACCCAGGTGCCCCACTTCTACCTTTCTTTTGAACAGAAGTAGTTTTGAGAGCATGTGTGAGTGGGCCGATGTGAGGGGGAAAATAACTGATGAGCAGAGGCCATTAAAATTACAAGGTCATGTAGTTTTCTGTATGAGTTAAGGGATACATAACCAGCCAACCAGTGGCTAAGAAGAGAAAAAATTTTGAAAACTAAGGAAATAGGTCCCTAAGACTATAAAACATATGGGGGAAAAGTCTTCATGACTAGGTCGCAAAATGATATCCTTCTGAAGTGGAAAGGTTGCCCAAGTAAGAAAACTGAGAAACTCAACAAAGTGTGAAGAAGTCATTAGGGAATCACCCCACACTTCTGAAGTCCCCTGGAGGAACTCCGGAGCTAGTCATTTTTAAATAAGGAACTACTTGGCAATCTTCGCATAGACTCGAGGCCACAGGTAAAATGACATGCCCTTTTATGTCCAACTGTGTCCTTTGATTTGGTTTTGGAGGAAGACATTAAGGATATCCCCACTTCCGCATTGGTCTTGAAAATAAAATGAGTCCTCTTAGCTTGAGCGATGTGGTCTGGTGGCCTTAACCTGGGGTGCTGTTGGCTTCCTGTGGGAGCTTTGTCAGACAAGCATGTGTGACCCCTGGAGATCCTGAGTCCATGGGTCCGGGCCAGGGCCTGTGCTTTTTGCTCTAGAGCCCGGACGTGATGATGATGATAGATAAATCCCAAAGACCAGGTACTGTCTGTACAAAAATGTGTTGGGATCTCCTGATGATGCTTGTGGAAAAGTTGGTTCAGAGCGTGCAGCTCGATGGCGCCAGGGCCCAGCTACGGGAGACGCCTGTCTGTGAGCAGAAGTACAGCAGGAAGTGAGGATCTGGGCTAATCCTGTCTGTAGTTGTCTGTTGCTAAATCCCTACAGGAGAGGCAGGACTTGAAACACAGGGAGCAGGCCCTGGGGGCGGGGGTGGGGGCAGGCAGGGCCCTGCAGCACAGGGCAGCACGTGGGAGGGCAACCTGTTTTCTCCTAAAGCAAAGGTTTCTTGTTAGTGAGCCTCAGAGGTGCCCAGAGACACTCACATTCAGATCCCTGGGCCCCATCAGCAGGTCTGATTCCAGAGTCTCAAGCAGGAAGACCCCACATGAGGACATCCTACTTCCCAGTAAAGCATGTTTCACAGTTCTCACAGACAAGGGGAAACGTGGTGGTTCAGAACAAAATGATCTTGTTTAGGGACGCCTGGGTGGCTCAGTGGGTTAAGCCTCTGCCTTCAGCTCAGGTCATAATCCCAGGGTCCTGGATAGAGTCCCATGTCTGACTCCCCACTCAGCAGGGAGTCGGTGTCTCCCTCTGTTCTCCCCATCCCCAGATAGATAAAATCTTAGGCAAAAAAAAGAAAGAATGACCTTATAGAGAACTGACCTAAAGATAAAGATTTTTCTTGTTTATTTTTGTCTTGGAAATACAGACCATAAAAATCTCTGGTAGGTTTGGGACACCAGTGGAAAGATCATAGAGTGAGATCCGCATCACAGGGAGAGAACACAAAGGAAAGTGTGTCCTGGAGCCAACAGCGCACTGTGAGAGAGTTAACTGGCTCTTCTGGGCAGTATAGGCGTCATTTCATGTTAGAGCTAAACAGATTTTCGAGCCATACTGAATCCCAGTTTTACTCAACTTTGTCTCTCTTAGAGTAATATGCATCCAGAAGATGCTCAATAAACGTGTAACATACAGTAGGTAGTCTTCAAATAGCATAGAGATGAGTGAGTGAGCGCCCGGAGAACTGTGACCCCCGGCTCCCCTAGCAAATGCGTCCTGTTTCTCTCTTGGGAATAATTCACCCCTTCCCAGGATGGAATTTAGATAATAGGAATAGAACGCCACCCGAGCGATTTAAATACTAAGGTGGGAACGTGATAGCCTTAGTAGGGTGATGTTACGAGGTAGCCCTTAAAGGGAGAAACTGCTTGAATTTTTAATGGAGCTTCAAGAAGCTTCAGCAGCCCACACGTAAATTAGGAGTTACCCACACAAGTCTTACTCTGAACATATCCTAAAGACCCTGATTCCTCTCCTGACAAGGACACTTCTTTGCCCCTCACTGTGAGATCCAGAACACTGTATACCTGCCACTGAGTAATAAAATTTGTCTTAATGAGATTTTTCTGGTAACTGCCCCTCATTTTCTCTCCCTTTACAAATGTGGGTGCTCACCCTCTGGGCCCCTCAGTAGGGAGTGACAGTTGCCTAAGCTTGACATGGAGGGCCACCACCATGTGGCCGGTCTCATGGAAATGTGTTTCCTCTCCCAGGACACCATGAAACCCCCCTGTCCGCTTCTACCAAGATGCTGGAGAGATTCCCCAACAACCTGCCCAAACATCGGGAAAACGTGATTCCTGCCGACTCAGAGAAGAAGAGCTTTGAGGAAGTGAGTGAGGACGTGAACAGTTAGTTCCTGCCTCCTCGGGTCCGGTGTTGGGGGAAGGCATTTGCCCTTGCCTTTGGAGCTCACAGTGGACCCGGGAGGGGAGAGGACTGCTCGGGAACCCACAGCAAACATCACCCAGGGAAGGCCTGGTGGGGAGGTTGTCAGAGCACTTACTGAGGGCGGTGGGAAAGGTAGAGGGATGGGGGAGGGGGCTGGCTGATGGGACAGAGGTAAAGGGCACCAGAGGACAGAGGGCAGCAGAGACGAAGACCCGGAGGTGGGACGAACCCTGCGTGTGCAGCTCTGGGCCTGAGACCAAATCTGAGGCCACCACGTAGGGGGCGGTGGAAGTGGGACCACGTGCTACAGAGGAACCACGTTACCCAGCTTTGCTTGCACCTGGCAGTGGAGCCAACGGTTGATGAGGAGAGGAGGTGGGAGACCCGAAGCTTTGTGAAACCAGGAGTAGCTCTTTGGAGACGGTGGGCTCAGCTGCTTGGTCTGGTGGAGGCTTGGTCTGGCAGGGGCCCAGTGGGCCCACAGAACAGAGATTTGGGCAGCAGGGAGGCCCCCCCCCAGGAGGTAGCTACCGCGAGCCTCTGCCCTGGGCTGTCCCCTTTTAGCTCTGGGGACACAGAGTGCCAGGCAGGGTCTCTGCCGGACATAGGTGGCCATCCAGACTAGGATGATCGGAAGGGAGTTAGTAAAGGGATTATTCTCACAGATGTGGACAACCCTAGGTGTTCTCTTAGCATCCTTTAGCCTGAAGTTGGGGGGCAGGAGTGGAAAGCCTGGAGCTTCAGTTGGCATAATCAGCAACCCCACAGACCTGGACCTCCTTTCCCACCGCCTGCCCCATCTGCTGGGGTCACAGTTGGGAACCAGAGGGCAGGGAGACCACTGCTGTGCCCATAGGTGGCAGCCTACTGCGGCACAGAGCGGGGGGAGGAGGCAGGAGGGGGGTCTGTAGGAGGGGTTCCAGCATGGCCAGTGGTGGGGGAAGGGGCTCTAGAGAAGCCATTCGGACTTGGTAGCTTCTGCAGCCCTCCCACGGGGGATGCAAGCCTGAGAGAGGCCTGGACTGTGGGCAAGGTCCGAGGAAGACGAGGGGGACTGGCTGATGAGGGGGCCGCAATCACGGCAAGTTGTCTGTAGGGCTCAGATTTGATCCAAAGAGAAAGGAAAGGAAAATCATGAAGCTGTTTAAGACTCTAGAGCGAGATATCTTGAGTTGCCTGTGGTCTCTGGAGATAGCCAGTTGGAGAAGTCCATTGAGTCCTAAGACAGCGATTTCAGGCAGCATTGGTGCCTTAAGGTCTTGGGTCTGATGTTGATCTTATTAAACTTATTAAACTTACTCGTATCCACCACTGAACACTTAGAAAATAAAAGTATAGAGAAGAAAACAAGACAGAACCCTTACTCTAAGGCCAGAGATAGCCACAGTTAAGATTTTTAATAATCATCCAAATTTGAACAGAGTTTTTTCAAACTCCCCTAAAATCCTCTGAGGTGCATTTACACAGCAACAAGACAACCTTTGTTACAAACACCTCGGACCGAATATAACCAAGGGTTGTTCCTGGTCCCATGCTCAGCAGACATTCCTCAGCTGCCTGCTCCCCACCGGCCGAGCCCCCCCCCACCCCCGCCCCATACACTGTGGGTGGGGGAGTGGCAGGGAGAAGCCCTGGCAGAAGTCTGGGCAGGGCGGGGGTGGGGAATGTGGGTGCCTGGTGGGGGATGCCAAGTTCTGCACTTGCCCAGGGGCTGTGTTCTCTTCGCTGGGCAAACAGCGACGGTGCTCCCGGGGTATGGGATGTTTGAGAACACATCGATACGTTTTCCCAAACTGTTCTTGGAGTCCTAGAGACTCCGAAAAGCTGAGACGGGAGGTCCACTTTTATCTGGTTCCATTTTGGGCTTCCAAGTAAAATTTTGTCTAACACTAACAGAAGATTCTGATGCTCTTCAGAAACCTTGAAAAATAGTGGGATACTTGAAAAAAATGATTTTGTTTTTGGAGTTGCCCTGGAAGTTTACAAGTGACAGAAACAGGCTGCTTTATTTTTCTTCAGCCACATCTGTGCCCCCACACAGAGTTTTCCTTTTTTTTTTTTTTTTTTTTACAGATTTTATTTATTTATTTGACAGAGATCACAAGTAGGCAGAGAGGCAGGCTGAGAGAGGGGTGGGTTGGGAAGCAGGCTTCCCGCTGAGCAGAGAGCCCGACTTGGGGCTCGATCCCAGGACCCGGGGATCATGACCTCAGCCAAAGGTAGAGGCTTTAACCCACTGACCTACCCAGGCGCCCCAGGGTTTTCCTTTTTAATGTGAAACGGTTTTATTAAAGTGACTATCAACCTTTTCACTAGACTTTGTCACCGAGGATGTCAGAGTTTTCTCAGATATCAAATCGACCCTCAAAGGAGGACATCTTTGTCTTCAGTGAGGATTTTCTAAAGAATATAGGATCTAAAGACCCTTCCAGAAGTACTGCTCTCGAGCTGTTTTTGAGTACTGATAATAACCTCATTGCATTGCAGTAAAGCCTGGCCTCTCAGGACAGTCACTTTGACAAAGGCAGAGCCATTGTGTGGCTGTGTGATCTTTGGTGAGCCTAACCAAAAAAGCCCAGCACATTCTACAGCATGATCCCGCCTGGTAGTCACGACTACTCTTGACTGTTTGGCTCATTTATATCTGGCCAGAAATTGTGCAGTGACGTAGTCACTCTGTCCCATACAAGGTTATCAACCTGGTTGACCACACTTCAGAAAACGCGCCTACCACCGTCTCACAGGATGTGGAAGAGAAATACGAGCGTGCCCCGGCCAAACCTGAGGCCCCCATGGACTCTGTGCTCAAGGACATCGCCACCATCATCCTGAGCACCTTCCTGCTCATCGGCTGGGTGGCCTTCATCATCACCTACCCCTTGGTAAAGCTCTGCCCCTTCCCTTCGCTCTCCCGGGTGTTTCTGAACTTCCGGGCTGGTCACCTGGTGCCCGTGAGCTCCGCACACGCATCAGACAAGCAGACACGTTGCCTTTCACATTTCAGAGTTAGTATTTGCTTATCTTTAGAAACATTGTCATTAAAAAGACACTAGCTTCTCAGGAAAGGACAGGTTTTTGGTTTTTTTTTTTTTTAATCTATGTCATAGAGTTAATTAATTATAAAAACTGATTTGTAAACCTTGCTTCTGCAGATCATTTCAAATAGTTAACTGTATTTTCCTTTTTAAGAATAGGGATGATAGATGAAAACCCACTTAACTTTCCTCCCTTACAAACTGCCTGTGAGAGATACCAGCTAGAGTGGAAAAGGTGGCATTCCTCCCACTTTCTGTTGGAAGTGAGTGAGCTAAGTTAACCTAGTTGAATAGGTTGTCAGCTGGATAAAACATTCTAGAATATTCCTTCATCAAGTTGCTCAGAGCACTGAAGTGTCATCTTAGAATACTAGTGTCCGGGAAGCTCATGTCCCATACAGGAATAGGAATGACAAACCCTTCCATTTGTACAGATGGGTTCACCTGCAATGTTTTATATTTCACCTCCCGCAGTTCCGGGAGGTCATCATTGCTATGCCTTACTCCCAGAGAAGCTAAGTTCTGGGGAAGTTAAATAACGTTCCCAGTGTTACTCAGCTGATCTTTGGCATTTCCTGGATTTGAACCTGAGTTCAGAGAGAGAGTGTGGGAGTGTACGTGAGAGCCAGAAAACTCCCAGGGGACAGGAGGTTGGCTACACAGCAGTCCCTTCAGTGTTCTTCCCACACACAGGTAGTAATAATCACAAATCACTGCTACTTCACATTATGACAGAACAAATTTTGCGGGGTAGATGAGAGGAGTAGGGGAGGTGGGGAAGGCAGCGTGACGAAATGGGGGGAGTGGGACTTGGCCAGGCCACATGTTACAGCCACAACCTGGCTGTGTGGCTGTGGGAAGATGGCTGTGAGGTTGTGAGCCCGAGCCGCTTCCCCTGCCCATCCGGATCAGTGACCATCTGTGTGTTAGCCTCTATCAAGTGCACAGCTGTAGTGGACAGCAAGCCCGGGTCTTCCCGTGCTCTGTTTGGTTCCATGTTTGTAATGACTCCAGACTTCCATAAAAGTCCTAGAATTTTAGAATTGAATGGACCCCTCCCCCCTTCATCTGGCCCAACCTCCACCTACATCAGTCCTTCCTCTTGCCCCTTTCAGGCCCCTCCAGCAGGGGGAGTGGGCTCTCCTGGGAAATCCTAGCTGGCAAGAAGAGCCCTAGTTATTGAACCCATCCTGCCTCCTGTGCCTTCTCACTGGTCCCTGTGGGATCTTATAAAGGGCCCCTGCTTCCTCTGCCACAGGGAGCTTCTCCCAACCAGCCTACGCCTGCGTGTGTCCCTGGGGGGAGCAGACTGCCCTTGTCTGGATGCAGGTTTCTCTTCCCAGAGCATGCATCAGCGGCAGCAGCTCCAGCACCAGCAGTTCCAGAAGGAACTAGAGAAAATTCAGCTCCTGCAACAGCAGCAGCTGCCCTTCCATCCACCTGCAGACGTGGCTCAGGATGCTGAGCCCTTGGACTCATCCGGCCTGTACTCCGAGAGCTCAGGCACCAGCAGCCCCAGCACATCCCCCAGAGCCTCCAACCACTCGCTGCACTCCAGTGGCTCTGCCTCCAAGGCTGGCAGCAGCCCCTTCCTGGAGCAGGACGATGAGGGTAAAGAGAGTTGCTGTTTTCTCTTTCATTTCAATACAGTCTAAGAGCCATCTAGTACCAGTTCCTCCCAGGGAGTGTCCGCGGGATCACAGAGTGCCGTTTCTAAGGGTACACTGTGTTCTCACCTCATTCCCTGTCATTCTGGCAGCCAGGCTTCCACACCACCCCAGGGCCTTTCCCCTCTGGGGGACCATCCTGTTCTTCTTCCGTCTTGCTCTGGAGGGGCTGGCAGTTGCTGCTAGCCCGAGGTCCCCTGGGTGTCTGGCTTGAGAGCGTTGCTGAGGCCAGCCAGCAGCCCCGTTAACACTGCCGCTGTTGACCCCCATTTCTCTGGTGGGGGGGTTGGCTCAGACCAGCCGTCGGGGGGTTAGTCTGAGGGGCTGGAGGCGGAGCTCGTGCAAGAGACCTGAGCTCCAATCTCAATCTGCGGCCTTTTCCGGCCCCTCCATTGCACATTGGCTGTGCTCCCCCAAAGGCTTCGATTGCAAATTGTAGGTACATCTGTGGTGGACCACTGTCTCCCGACAGTAACGGTGAGGCAGGGACAGACAGCAGGAGGCGGGGAGCCTGTGGCCCCGGTGTCAGTGGGGAGTGGAGCCCGCCGGCTTCCGCTCACCACGGGCTGGGAACATACAGCCTGCGAGATCCATTTCTGTATCTGAGCTCAGGAAGCTCGCAGCCTTCTAGCCTCGAGGGGTTTGAGATTATGTTCGTTTAAAACCACTTCGTCTTCCTGTTTCATCCCAGATGAGGAAACCAACATGGTGATAGTTGGGAAGATTTCATTCTGTCCCAAGGACGTGCTGGGTCACGGAGCTGAGGGCACGATTGTGTACCGGTGAGTGGCTGGCTCCAAGAGCTCTGTGATGTCGCCTCCTGTCTGAGCACCTGTCAGCTTGCATGTGGCAGGCCAGGCCCCTGGGGGTGCCGCAGGGTCATAGCAGGGGCCGAGATGGAAGAGTTCACCTCCAGGCAGGAAGGGACGGCCGCCTGGTGCTTGGTTAGGGCTGGGGGGCTCACAGGGTGGCTGCTGCCTCAAGGGACACGGAGCACCGTGGGTCTGTGGGTCTCTTCGTCTCCACAGCCTGCTTTGCGCCCCCAACCCAGCCCCTGATCCTTGTCCTCAGGGGCATGTTTGACAACCGTGACGTGGCCGTCAAGAGGATCCTCCCCGAGTGTTTCAGTTTCGCTGACCGTGAGGTCCAGCTGCTTCGAGAATCCGATGAGCACCCCAACGTGATCCGCTACTTCTGCACGGAGAGGGACCGGCAGTTCCAGTACATTGCCATCGAGCTATGTGCCGCCACCCTGCAGGAGGTGGGAGCCCGGGCGGCTGCAGCCTCTGTCTTCAGGGCAGCGGTGGCTCGAGGGATTACACTTTCTTTTTCTTTTATTTCTTTGTATTCACTTCATTGAGGTCACAACACAGCATAGGCCTTTGAGTGAACAGTTTGGTGCTTTTGAAGGACACGCCCACTTAACCACAAATAGCCCGGAAGGAGAGCCTTTTCAGCCCCTCACCTTCAGTTGGGTGGGACAGTCTTTGGTTGCAGTTGGTGTCTGTCTCCTTTGCCCCCAGGAAACCCTGCACTTCTCACCCTGAGCAGGGTTAGTGAGGGCTTGGAGGATGCTGGCCGAGCAGTCAGGCCTTGGAGATCCTCCTGCGAACCCCTTTTGCTCAGTCTCCAGGCTCATCGGGAACCTGTCTTGGTATTAGCTGGCTGCACTTGCAGGTTTGCCTATATGAGGCCATGAACTTGAATTCCTTGCACCCTTACCTTTATCACTGTACACGAGTCCCTCGGGACTTCTGTTTGGTTAAGTGAGCCTGTGGCTTCAGGAGAAAGTCTGTTGGTAGATGTGGATTTGGGCAGAGAATGTTGTCAGTATAAATAGGATCAAAGAAAATGAGCTGACCTAATCCCAAATGTTAATTAAAGCAAAAAGCTGCTGGCAGGAGTTTTCTAAACAAAATTAAATCACTCGAAAGAAAGACGTACTGTGTGGGGTCAGGGGGAGGGGGTTGGGTTGGGTTGGGGCTGTCCCTGCGGAGGGGCTGTGTGCATGACCTAGCCGTTGTGTCTCTTGCAGTACGTGGAGCAGAAGGACTTTGCCCACCTCGGCCTGGAGCCCATCACCCTGCTGCAGCAGACCACCTCGGGCCTGGCGCATCTGCACTCCCTCAACATTGGTGAGACGCTTCCCTTTCCCAGGCTGCACCCCTGCTGGGGGAGGGGCAGGCTGGCAGCTGCTGGCGTGGTCCCTCCCTCTGCTGAGAATCTGTGCTTTATCTCTGGTATGCACATGGGGGGGTTTGGTGGCCTTCTGACAATAAGAGTTCTAAGAGGGCTCTTTCACAGTTGCAGAGTAGAACCCTTAGAGGTGGCAGCAGGCCTGCTGGGAGTCTGAGAGGGTGCACTCCCTGACATTACTCGTGGTGAGTATGGGACTGATCTGGAGCGTTCTGTTAGTTCACAGAGACCTGAAGCCCCACAACATTCTCCTCTCTATGCCCAACGCACATGGCAGGATCAAGGCCATGATCTCGGACTTCGGCCTGTGCAAGAAGCTGGCCGTAGGCAGGCACAGTTTCAGCCGCCGCTCAGGAGTGCCGGGCACGGAAGGCTGGATCGCTCCAGAGATGCTGAGCGAAGACTGCAAGGACAACCCGGTGAGTCCCCGGCACAGCTCTCCGCCTCCTGCCTCTTCAGGAGAGACAGCCCCTGAATTCAAGCCTTGGGGGCTGTGGCTCGTGGAGAATGACGTTTGTCGAAGAGCTTCTATGTGAACAGCATGCAGCTGGCACTTTCCGTATGGTCCTGTTCAGAGGAATGGAAGGGCAGTTGCTATCCCCCCACTCCCATACTTTTCCAATCACTTCCTTCCCCAGCGCCTCAGCTCTAGAGCCCACGTTTCCTGCTGTGAAGGCCAACATGCCCTCAGCCCTTGCAGGGGGCCAGCAGGGCCCTGGGCGCTTCGAACATGCTAGTCGAGTCTCCCGGGGCCCCTTCAGAGTGGGTGAAGCAGCAGTAACACTCCTGTCCTCACTGCTGCTGAGTGAGGAGGATAATTCTCCAGAAGGCCTCTCACCCCCTCCATCTCTCTTCAGACCTACACGGTGGACATCTTCTCTGCGGGCTGTGTCTTTTACTACGTGATATCGGAGGGCAGCCACCCTTTTGGCAAGTCCCTGCAGCGGCAGGCCAACATCCTCCTGGGAGCCTACAGCCTGGACTGCTTGCACCCTGAGAAGCACGGTGAGCGGCCCACAGGGCAGGAGGGGTCGGGAGCCACCCCGCTGCCCAGCTAGACCCCGTGGGCCTCCAGGAATTGATGACTCATTCTGAAGCTGGTGGAAGGTTGGGTAGGTTGTCTTAGAGCACCTCTTCCTAAGGCCAGCAGCTCTGAGGTTCCTTCAAGTCACCCGATGACCTGGGAAAGACCCCCTTTGGGGACCTCTGTTTTCTTGCTTGTGACGTGTGAGGGTTAAATAACCTGAGGTCCCTTCCTGCACAAACATTCAGGAAAACAGATAGTCCCTGCTTCATAAACTTTGTGTGTGCAGGCCAGTGGTCAGTGGGTGCAGTCTGGGCTCGGACAGACAGGCTGAGTCTTGCTCTCTGGGTGCAGAGGCAACAAGGCTTCCTTCCCAACTTCAGGGTTTCCTGTGTTATAACTGACCCAGTGCCACCTTTAAATTAAAACTGGGGGACCTGAGTGGCTCAGTCGGTTAGCCATCTTAATTTCAGCTCAGGTCACGATCTCAGGATTATGAGACTGAACCCCACATTGGACTCCACACTCAGTGCGGAGTCTGCTGGGGATTCTCTCTCTCCATCCCCCTCTGAGCCTCCCCCCTGCTCACATGTGCATGCTCGCTCACTCTCTCTCAAATAAATAAAATCTTAAAAAAAAACAAAAGGATACCTGGGTGGCTCAGTGGGTTAAAGCCTCTGCCTTTGGCTCAGGTCATGATCCCAGGGTCCTGGGATCGAGTCCCACTTTGGGCTCTCTGCTTGGCGGGGGGCCTGCTTCCTCCTCTCTCTCTGCCTGCCTCTCTGCCTACTTGTGATCTCTCTCTGTCAAATAAACAAATAAAATCTTTAAAAAAAAATCAAAACTAATTTTCTGTTTTGCTCATGGATTAATTTTCCTTATTCCCTATAGAAACAGTAGGTTAGCATGAAGACCTCAATTCCATTAACACAGTGATGAGTTCCTGCTGTTAATACCTTTGTATATCTTATTCCAGTCATCTAATTAGACAGATGTGTGTCCTTGTGTAAAACATGGAGGTAAATCGTCCGTGCCATTGAGTCCCTCTCTGTGTTGATCGGTGTTCGATGGGGCATTGTGTTCAGAGCATGGCCCGGGACCTGGAGGCATTCCCGGAGCCTCCACTAGTGGGTATTTCCAGTTACTCTTTTTCCCAGACCGCAAGGTGAGAACTCCCTGTATTGGCCAAAGTTTGTGCATGTTCTTTTTTTTTTTTTTTTAAAGATTTTATTTATTTATACTTGACAGAGAGAGATCACAAGTAGGCAGAGAGGCAGGCAGAGAGATAGGAGGAAGCAGGCTCCCTGCTGAGCAGAGAGCCCAATTCGGGACTCGATCCCAGGACCCTGGAATCATGACCTGAGCCGAAGGCAGAGGCTTTAACCCACTGAGCCTCCCAGGCTCCCCGTGTGCACGTTCTTAAACCATTTCTGCAATGAGCTCCCGTCGGTAGAATCTTGAATCAAAGGGCACACGTGCTGTTAAGGTTCGTCTATTTCACTGTGACCGTGGACCGGGGACAGTGACAACTTGCTTGTCTTCCTCCTTTGTAGAAGACGTCATTGCCCGGGAATTAATAGAGAACATGATCGCCATGGAGCCTCAGAAACGCCCGTCCGCAAAACACGTGCTGAAGCACCCGTTCTTCTGGAGCCTAGAGAAGCAGCTGCAGTTCTTCCAGGTCGGCCTCTTGGGTTTTGGGTTTGGGGGTATTTTTTTAATCAGAAGCCTTCATTCAACTTTTCCCAGATTTTAAAAAATATGGCAAAAGACAATGAAACCAATGACTCCTAATCCCATAACCAAGAGAGAACCATGGTTGATATTTTAACATACTTCCTTCATACAGATAAAAGTGTGTTAGGGTCAAACTGTATGTACAATTTTGTGTCCTTTTTTCCCTCAGCACCTAATATTTTGATACAGTATTTTATTATGTATTTTTTTAAGATTTTATTTATTTGACTGACAGAGATCACAAGGAGGCAGAGAGGCAGGCAGAGAGAAGGGGAAGCAGGCTCCCTGCTGAGCACAGAGCCCAATGCGGGGCTCGATCCCAGGACCCTGGGATCATGACCTGAGCTGAAGGCAGAGGCTTAACCCACTGAGCCACCCAGGCGCCCCAATAGTATTAATGTTATTAATATATTTAACGTAGTATTTTAACATCCTATTTTTTCATCTTAAAATTCTAAATTTTTTTTTTTTAATTCTAAAATTTTAACTACTCTCGTACTCAGTCCTGTGGATGTGCTGTAATTTAAAAACCTTATGTTACAGGAACTTACAAATACACACAAAAATGGAGGGAATACGATCATGCACTTCCCTTTACCCGTCCGCCAACTCCAGCAATTATTAACTGAACCTCTGCGCTCTTCTCAAATCTTCACTCCAGATTACCGTGCAGGAACTCTTAGGCATTATATAATTTCATCCAAGTCTCCAAAATCTAAACATTTACTTACACTGGATTCTTTCTACCTTCTTTCACCTAATCTTTGCCCACATCTCTTTTTGCTTACGGTGGATTCTGAGACGCGTACTCAGAGGATGGGTAGAGCTGAGCTCCGCCGGTGGTTTGGCCGTTTTAAGGCTTTGTGGTGTTGCCCGCCCAGTGGCTTTCATGGAAAGGGAATGGGTTTCTCAGTCTCCCTGGTCAGTTCAGCAGAGCTCGTCCAGACACATCGTACCCAGCGCACCCGCCCTGGAAGGCAGGCCCCCAGGGGCAGTGTGGTCTGGGTCAGAGTGAAGCTTGGGTCTAGGAGTGACCGTCACCCTGACCCACAGTCTGACTAGAGCCTTAGCCCCCAGCAAGGAAGCTCCCTGAGGCCAGGAGTGGTTGATTTCCCGTTCGTTGCTGTGTCTCCACTGCCGGGCACGTGGCAGGTGCTTAGTAGGTATTTGGATGGATTGAGAAGGGGAGGCTTTCGTGCCACTTTCGAGGGCAGTGGGCATGGACAACATTAGGATTGTTCATTAGGGTCCTAATACTACAGTTAGGAGGTCAGGTGTCCTCCAGTGGCTTCTGGAAACTAGCCAGGTTCCTTTGATGATGACAAGATATAGAACAGGAATAAAGCTCACACAAAGGGACCTCCAGCCCACTGTGGGTTAGGATTTAAACTCTTCATTTTTCCAAGTCCCCTATCTTGTGACCACACCTGCCTCCCCCTGTATAGCTGTCCCGGCTTTGTGGCAGAAGTCTGTGTCCGCAGGGCATCCGGGGTGAGCCCCTAACTCGTCCAGGGCCTCCCTCTAGCCACTGCAAGCCTGAATCAGCCAGTCTGGCCTCACCTTTGTCAAGGAAAGAAGAGACTGTGGCCAGTGAGTCTGTGCTGCGTTAACACACGTGGGGCCCATCGCTCCGTTTTCTCGGCTGCTGGAGCTCGAGCTCAGACATGGGGCAGGGTTCAAGGCCAGGGAAGGGCCTCCGGAGCCCACACCCTCGTCGGCCGCTTTCTTCCTCCAGAAGAGGGCTTCATCTGTCTTTTCTGTTTGTATGAGGGGTGCTGACCAGCTGTGGATCTGAGCGTGTCCCCTTTCCTTGCGTAGACGGAAAAACCCAAGATGCAGAGCAGAACGGAGCTGTTGCTGTTCACTGATGAACAGGCAGTTGATTGCATCTCGCCTCCGTGTGAGAGGCAGTAGGCGTGCACAGGGGTGAGACACAGGTGTGGCGTTCGGGTTTGTGGAGAGGTGCGACACGTCCCACCTGTCACAGAAGTGGTCTGTGTGGGTCTCTCCCCAGTGAGCCACAGACAGGGCTGCTCGCAGGGGAGAGGGTGACAGATCGGGAGGGACTGAGGCACAGCACTTGCTGCTGGTACCGGGGACCGAGGCTCATGTGGCAGTGACCATTCTGTGCGTGAGTGTGTCGCTTCTGCAGCTTCCGGTTCTCCACACACTGACCATCGCCTGCTGCCCTTGTCACCCTCGCAGGACGTGAGTGACCGAATAGAAAAGGAGTCCCTGGACGGCCCGATAGTGAAGCAGCTGGAGCGAGGTGGGAGAGCCGTGGTGAAGATGGACTGGAGGGAGAACATCACTGTCCCCCTGCAGACAGGTGACCACGCTGAAGCCCCCGCCGCGCGTGTTGGCAGAAACATTTCAAGAGCAGCAGCCGTTTCTAAGAAGTGAACGTGGGGCTGGCAGCTCCGGGCGGCTTGGGCTCCAGATCTCACAGGGTTGAGGCTTCCGTGGGTGTGTCCTCTGGGGTTCATTACACAGATGTGGGCTTCATTTTGTCTCTTCACGTGACAGAGACAGTGACAGGTGCTATGCTCTGAATGGTTATTTGTGCTCGTGGGTGCGACCCGGAGGTGGAATTCAGCCTTGCACTGCCCTCGGTCAGGCTCATTCTGGGGGACACATTCCTGTCGGCCACGAGCATGGCGTAGTTCCGTTGTGTTTCAGTCTGATTGCTTGGTCCCCAGGAGCCCTGGGAATTTTCCTCTTTAGACATGGGTTTGTTATATGGCATTCCTGGTTTCTTCCCTAGATCTGCGGAAATTCAGGACCTATAAAGGTGGCTCCGTCCGAGACCTCCTCCGAGCCATGAGAAACAAGGTAAGGGGCGTGAACCCCCCGTGGGCCCAGTGACGGGTACAGCCACCTTCCTCCTTTCTGTTCTCTGTGGGTCCTTCCACTCCTACTAGAATTCTGACCTCGCAGGGCCAACTCGTTCCCTTAGACAGGTGTTCTCTTCTGCGACGTTGAGGTGTAAGGAGTTCCGCTCTGGGAAGCGGGCTGTCTGATGCTGGTGTCATCTGTGGTCTCTGCCGACCTGTGTGTGACCTGTGCCTGCCTGAGACTCCACAGTATAAACCCCCGATGGGGACCTTCCCACACAGGCCTGGCCACTGGCCACTCCAGCAGGGAAGCTTGTCCTTGCCTCCCCAGCCCTGGCCCTGACTCGGCTCCGAGGCGTCCTCCTGCAAGAGGGAAAACAGGGAAGACCGTTGAGTACCTGCGCCTTTTCTCCTCGACAGAGAACCGACTAACATTCTGTCTTCCTTGACTCTCAAGAGGATCTTTTACCGGTGTTTCCTGGGCTTTCCAGCTGCTAACCTCCCTGTGTGTGTCCATCCTGTTTGCAGAAGCACCACTACCGGGAGCTCCCCGCGGAGGTGCGGGAGACGCTGGGCTCCCTTCCCGACGACTTCGTGCGCTACTTCACGTCTCGCTTCCCCCACCTCCTCTCCCACACCTACCGGGCCATGGAGCCGTGCGGCCACGAGCGGCTCTTCCAGCCCTACTACTTCCACGAGCCCCCAGAGCCCTGGCTTCCAGTGACTGCAGACATCCCTTGAGCCAGGGTGGCCATCCATTCTGGTGGTCCCAGCTGTGACTGTGGGCTTGGTCTCTGCAAGTCCGAGCCAGACGCCTCTCGGCTTAGCAGGGAGACCAGGCTCCCAAAACAAGTGCCTTGAGCTGCCCACTCTGCCTCCAGCAGAGGAAGACGCCAATCCCAGGAGGTGGGAACCGCGGCCCCTTCTGACCTGTAGGGAGTTGGGAAGATGTTGGCCACGAAAGCTTTCCAGTTGGGGTCCTCTGCCAAGGAGGGCCCATCCCAGACGCAGTGACAGAAGCATCCTCTGCCTTCTCCTGGACGCATTGGCTTCAGACCTACAGTTTATTTTTTCAACTTCCTGCTTGGTGTCAGCCTGTGGGCCTGTAAGGAAGAGAGGGGAGGCAGTCCTGCGTTTTGCCTCCGTGCGGGACCAGGAGCACCTCTCTCCTTGACCAGCGAGGCTGAGGGGCACGAAATGGAGTCTCTGCTCTAAGTGGGGCTCCAGAGGGAGGGACATTGGGGAGTAGGAAGTCGTTCAGAGGGCGTCATTCCTAGGGATCGGAGATGCCTCACTCATCGCGAACGCGCCCAGAGTTCCCCAGGTCGCTAGAGCCAGTGTTCCTTGGGGGCAGTGAGAGTCCTGAGCGTGAGGCACCGTGTTGGGGCAGGTGAGCGCCGCCCACTAGAAGACAAGGCCGTGTCTGCTGATCTCTTAGAAATGAAGAGGGTACTCTGTCCTGAGTCCACAGTAGTCCAGTGCCTTGGTGGCCTTTGATGGATTGGGGGGATGTCTAGGAGCATGTGGGGGCAAGAGGTGATAAGTTCCCCCATCAAGAAGAGCAGCACCCAGGCAGGAACGGGCCTTTGGGACCAGAGGGGAGAAGGCCACATGCAACACTTATGGCCACCCTGTGGGGAGTCCTGGGCCAGCATATGGGCAATGAGGCTCTCTGTCCTGGACCGGAGGACGGGCCAGGGGGTCGGGAGCAGAGGCCAGAGTCACCACAAGCTTCGTGGGCAGGCTTTTATGTTTCTCTTGGCAGATTTTAATAACTTTATAATTTGATCATACTGTAGAATGCTACGTTAGCAGAAGTAAGCTGAACTTGAAGCTTACTCGTGAAGAAGATAAATGCAAGATATATAATACACTTTCTATTTTGTGTAGTACCAAAAGCCTCCATCCCCTCCGGAAAGAGCGTTCACGTTCAGAACGTGCTCTGATGCCGAAGAGTAAAGCCGTATAGCAAGGCTGTCCGCGTCCCTTAAACAACTTGAAAGTAATATTCCCTCAATTATGTCAATACCATCTTTTTGGCTAAAATTAGTAGAGTTTTTGACTTTAGTCTCAGTCCAAACTTGCTGTCTTTTCTCTACCAAGAGCCTTAGCAGTTCAATGTGATCAGGGTACAGTGTGGCGATGTCCCCCATGTCCTTTGTCCAGCCGGGTGAGTGGGTCCTCGCCCTTTGTTCAGTGCCGGCGAGCTCAGAGACCCCGCTCGGGAGCAAGGATGTTGCTGATGGACCGAGAGCGCACCGTTCCTTCTGTGAGCTGCTTCCTGATGGCGGGTTGGGCTGAGGGCCACTCATCAGAAGCTCTCCTGTGTCTTCGTAGAATTCAGTTCCCTTCCTTTCATAATGACACGACTTACTTAAGTTCCCTTTATCCTCCATCTGCTGTTATCCTCCCTCCTCACCGGTTACCCCGCGTAGACCTGGGAGCCCTGGGGCTGGGGGCGGGCATTGTGCTGCGTCTTCTGCCACGGCACCCACGGTTCAGGAACACAGCCAGATGGCTGTCCTCTCCCCACTCTGCTGCATCTGCGCTGTTGTTGTCCCTAGGATCTGCGGTCACTTTGCTGCCGGGCCTGAGTGTGATCCCTGCCCTCCCCCCGCCACCCCCGGCAGGTGGAGGAGGTGCCCCAGGTGGGCTGGCTGTTGGCTCTGTGCTGCTTCGGTCTCGTGGCTCAACAGTGTCCGTGGGGGGGCGGGTAGCCAGTCACGGCTGGCTGCCCAGGGTTTGTGTCTGCTCCCTGTTTGGGCCCAGCTTGTCTTTAGAACAACTGTTTTTTAAATGCCCTTTCTACTTCTCGCCTTCGTTTCTAACCACGCACCTTCTCAAACTCATGTATTCGACTTTGACTTTGAGTACTTGCGGGGTGAGCCAGGCCAGATCCTGGGGGCTGGGGACGCAGAGGTGAACGAGACAGATGAAACCTCTGCTTTTGTGAGAGCGTGGAGGGAGAGACACAGCAAATAGTAAAGATCAGGGCTCCAGGAAGAGCCGTTCTCCACTTTGAGGAACCTGGTCACTCCTCAACCCCTAAGGTGGCTTGAAGAGGTGTCCTGTCATCATGGAAACAGCTCGGGCATCCTCTGCTGCATCTCGCCCTCGTCTTCAGAATCCTGGTCTCCTGTTGTGCTCTGCACCACTGCCAGAACAGGGTTCTGCAGCCTTGTGCGTCCTGTCACAGCAGAGCTGGTGGATCTTAAGCACAAGTCCAGGAAGGCTGTTAACTTCTTGGAAGTACGCTGTCTTCACTTTTACAGCAGAATCTAGTCACATCTTTTGGGAATCCCAGGGCCGCTCTCCTTCAGCCCGGTGTTGAAGCCTGTGTTGATCCAGTCTTCAGCGCACCTGCCAGAATTTCTCTTGTTGCTTCTCAAGTCTTTTCACCCGCAGTTGAGCAAGAGAGCCCACATGTCCCCGGGCGCCAGAGCACTTGCACTTTGGGGGATCACTGGTGTCTGCGGTGAGTCACTAAACCATCTAGTGGCGGATCTAAAACCTTGGGGGGGCTCTCCCTCCCCCTTTCTGTCCGTGCCATGGTCCCAGGCTCCTTTCAGTGAGACGTCACTCCAACTTGTGACACAGATCTGCAGGTCAGTGGGCCCAGCAAAGGATTTTCTTTCTACCAACTCTAGAAGGAAGGCCTTGATCAGAGTCAACTTTTGTTTAAGTTTTGAGTGATTTGTTTCCCATTGCGGTTCTTTCTCACTACAGTGAGAGATGCATTGGCTGCTGCTGTGAGCTCTCACAGATGTAGGGGGGCCTCTGGGTTGGAGGCCTTTCTCTTCTTGGCCACTGTCTCTCCAGAAGTTGGACTCCAGCCCGGTTTGGGTTTCCTGAGTCTGCTCTCGCTCTCCCGCTCTGTGTATTGGGTCCTCAGCCTGGAGGTCCTGGCAGGAGGTAGGCTGGTTCACCTGCTGCTGCCTTCTGTGCCACGAGAGCTGGGAGAGAGAGCGCGGCGCCCTGTGAAGAGCCTTCCTTACGTTCTTAGCCTTCTCTCTGCGCATTTAGTATCTGAACTCCCTTTTCTTCATGTATCCCAGTGTCTCTTCCTTGCTCATCCCTTCACCATCCTGGCGTTGTCCTTGTAGCTGAGTCTGGCCTGGCCTTGGCTTTTTTCCTAGAAGAAAGTCGCTGGGTGTCCCATAGAGATGAGCCAAAATTCCACCTTCCAAGGTTGGACCATGATCTTTTAAACCAAAGTGTCTCCTCATCCTCTACTTTGTTTTCTCGATGAAGCAGTGATTTCCTCCGCGAGTAGCCCTGGTTCTGGTTGCTTGTATCTGCGCGTGAATCCTTTCTGTATTCATTGGCCAACCACCAAGAAGGCATCTGCAGTGAGCCTCCCCCTGGGGCAGCCTTAAGGTCCACTTCCGGCCCAAGTCCCCGCCCCTCTCTCCTCCCCCTGTGATCTGTGTGCGTCTGGCGGGTACAGTGTTCCTTTTCAGTATCCCAAAAGCTGTGACGGGGCCGTCCCCACTTACCTAGGAAGCATTACCCGTCAACCAGGCGGCATTCTCAAATGCAAACCTGACGTAGTGTTCTTTTTGCGATGACCTATTTATTTAACCTATTTATATTTATTTAATTTTTACTCTGACGTGTATCCAGCTATAATTGCACTTGCTTCTAAAGCACATCAGATTTGTTTTGGACAACACACCCCTGACCATTCTAAAACTGGAAAAGGAAAAGTTATACTGGATCCTTCCATGGGATGGACGCCTCACAGTAGTTTTATCATTAAAGGGTGAGAAATTTGGTCAGGGTTCAAGTTTTCTCTTTTGAGTGATTTTTTAAAAATATTCTGTGCCATCTTGTCTTCTCCGTGAACGGTTGTTTAATGGGTATGTGTTAATTGTGCGATAGAATTCTCTCTGTGAACCTACAATCCTCTTTTTAGCTTTATATTTTATAAACTGCCAGATTGTACAATTTTTATGTGTATTTTTAAAGCTTGATGTGAGGGTAATTATCTAAGTTAAACAGCCTATTTTTGTACCTCCTGTACAGTTTTATAATTCTGCTGATTGATGAAGGCGTCTTGTGCGGCGCCTCCCACAAATAAAGGTAGTTTTAGACCTGGAAGGTCTCAGCTTCATCTCCGTGAGGACTTGACGCCCGCTCTCAGACAAGGGGTCATTCCCGGTGGTCTTCCTGGCTGTAGGGGCATGGGCGGTGAGGGTGAGCAGCTGACTCAGGAGGGGAGGGAGGGTGCAGTTGCCAGCTGGTGTCTGCAGCACGGTCCAGGGGGTTGGAATGTCCTCCTTGGTGGCCGCGAGGAAAGGTTCTTTGAAAACCTGCAGGGAGTCCCCAAAAGTATTGGTTTAGGCTGAATTCCAGGAAGCTGGCCCGGTTGGGTTGGGACCGAAATGCCCCATGGTGAGAATGAGACTCCAGCTGAGTCTGGGGAGTGTACAGTGAGGAGGACCGAGGAGCCCATAAAGGGGTTAAAACTGCTTTAGTAACTTGGCCTGCGCAGTGCTGGGATGGCCGTGACCTGGTGTGTCAGGGGCACCTGATCCGTTTACCCACAGGCCTAGGGATGAGCCCAGCGGCCAGTCTGGGCGGAACTAGAATCCCACCAGCCTGCTTCTTCCTTTCCACCTGGTGAAAAAGCTGAGGACGTTCCTCTCTCTTGCATCGCAGGAAGGGACCACTCACGAGGCCCGGGGACCGGCTCCTTCCCCTCTGCTGGCCACCGTCCAATCCCTTTGGCCCAATCCCTCCGGCCCGGCCAGGTCCCAGGAGCACGCCTGGGAATTAGGATGCGCCCTCTGAAGCTCGGGATCCCGGACCCCCCGGGTGGGCCGAAACCCGAGGGAGCAGGAGGGGCCGCAGGAGGCTGTTGATGCCTGCTCGCTGCCTCCCACCGCTCGATGGCAACGTGGAACCAGCTCTTGGAGTCCCCAGGGAGCTGCGAAGCCGGAGCAGGGGCTGCATTTGGAATTGGTCCAGGCCAAGGAGGGAGCCTCAGCTGTGTCCGAGAACAGAGACGCGCACAGGTCCTTGGGAGGGAGGCCAGCAGGTGGTCGAGACACTGGCATGGCCAGGGCCATGGTTCTGGGCCACTGAGGCAGTGTTCGCTGCTTGGATGCCGGGTCAGTGTCGGCTGCAAAGAGGGTGCTTTTTTCTGAATGTTGGATACATTTCATCAGGTAAATGCGTACATATACCAACAGCATTTCATCAGCAAAGGCACTGACTCTTACTCTATTATTTGTCCCATCCGTCATTTGTGCTGGGTGCGTGCCTGAGCTACAAGAGCTCATTAAAAGAGCCAACAACAGCCCCATCAGTCTGTCCTTCCCCCTGGGCCAGGCACTGTGCCTGACCTTATTCCTCTCCCCCGTAGACCAACATTTCCCTTCAGATCAAAAATGTACATCTTTTACTTCAGTGAGACACTGACTGGACCCTTTGCAAGACCAAATATCGGATGATGACTTTGTATCTAAGCCATTTAGCTGTGAGCAGAGGGAGCAGGGCTGGTAAGAACATGGCAGCCCCTGGGAAACCATAGTAAAAGATGGCAGGGGGCAGAGGGAGCCGTTTCCAGAAACAGGAGAGGCAGGGCCGGCAGGACAGTAGCTGAGTGAACTTGGCCTCTGAGAGGGTTAGCAGGTGAGCTCAGTGGGTATTCTTTTCTGTCCTCCCCAACCTTTGCCTCTCCAGATTCACCCAAGCCCGCTCGGTGATCTGGATGAAGCCATAAAGGTGTGCTCATTGGGTTTGCCTGCTGGCATCACCATTGTGATTCATGACCCAGTAAAGATTCCAGAAGATAGCAAGAAACTGGAATGCTGAGCCCAGACCCAACGAATGGTGGGCGGCCCTGCCTTGACATGATGATGAGGTTGGAAATGGAGGGCAGGGCCGTAAGAGGCTTGGAAACCGCCACAGACACTTGAAACAAGAGATATTGGGACCTCGGATATCTGTCACGTGATGAAGAACTGGTTTTGCTCCCTTGCTCCAGATGGTCTGGGCTAGACTAGCGGGGAGGTTCTAGTTGGGAGCCTGAGCTGCCCACAGTGCCGAAGGAAGCTGGACAAGTGAGCGAGGGCTGGGTCTCTGCAGGAATCCAGCAGAGGGGTCGGGCCTCATCCTGAACAGATCAGGAAGAAATTCTTCCTGGGGTCACAGGTTGCACTCAGGGCCCTTCCAAATAAGCATCTATGACTGAGGCCTGCCCCTCGCTGTGATGAGTTCCTGGAAAAGCCTGCCTGGCTGGGTGTGCATCACAGGAAGCGCGGAGGGGGGCCACCGCAAAGGATCTGTTGATGATTGGAGGGGGCTGGGCTGGTGTTCTCCAAGATTCTGCCAGGGGCGTCTGCTGTTCCAGACACAGGTGCCCTAAGAGTGGTGACACAAGCCACAGTTGACTCATTGAGGACAAGTGTGCGCGTCAGAATTCCAGTTCCAAGGAATACCGCACTTAGGCAAAAGGCCCCATGACCAAATAAACTCCGGAAATGATGGATTACAGACAGATTTCCTATTGACTGCAACACCATTCAGCTTTTAATATACTGACAGGAGGGGCACCCGGCTGGCTCCGTCGGTGAAGTGTGACTCCTCATCTCCGG